CATTTTGATGAACGAGTTCGAACAGGAGAGTTACTACTCCTTTACTCTAAAACTACTCCTTTAAGGGGTCAATAATAAGAAATATCCCCACCAGACATCACTTTTCACCACTACTGTGAATTCATATATATATATATATATATATACGAATTTTATATATAATGCCAAATGACAAACAATCGTGCATAGTTTTATACATTTCCCACTCTTTAACCCTCTGGCACTGTTCGCGTGTTGGTCAAAAAATCAAATTTGCACTATATTTTAGTTCGATAATAGTTTTTATTCAATATTTTGTATTTTTGGGGTATTTTATGGTATTAAATTATATTTATGCAGTATACGTAATAATTAATTTATTCACTTTTTGAGCATGGACCTGAAAATGAAATTAACACATCAAACTGTCTTGAATCTGGATTTTTTTGGAGCACAGGCTGAAGTATTAAAGACGAAATATGGAAGATTTTTTCTGAAGTGAAAAGTTTGAAAAAGTTAACTGTATACAATTTTACATTTATTGTTATGAAAAATGAACAAAAATACCATTTTCAAGTTTTATATGATATATATGAAGAGTTCAGATGCAAAAGCCTCTAAATGCCATTTGAAATTTTCTTCTTTAATGATGATTTTTATCAAACTTGTATATTTAAGTTCAGTAATTTCACTTAAATAACAATTAATAGGTAATTATCATTGCCATTTAAGTGAAATCACTGAACTTAAATATACAAGCTTGATAAAAATTATCATTCTAGAAGAAAATTTCAAATGGCACTTAGAGGCTTTTGCATCTGAACTCTTCATATATATATATATATATTTTTTTTTTTTTTTTTCAAAACACATTTTACTCTAAAACTCTGAGAAAATCAAAGCCATAAATCTAAATTTGATGTTGATATTTAAAAAAAAAAAGCTTTCATTAAGAATTTGTTTGGGCGCAGTACCAAACATTTCCACTAGTCTGCCATTCGTTTCCATTACAAGTGTGACTATTTTTTTCAGGACCGTTTAACCTTATCAATGTCAATGATTTGTGTGTATATGTGTGTGTTTGTTCACACAGCAAATGCCAAAACCTTTACCAAGTTTCGTATCATTCAGATAAAGTAAAAAAATATATATATTTGTAAAAATGTTGTAAAAAACCAGAAGGATAACATGCATATCACACAGATTACTCCAGCAATAATAGGTTTTAATTTGCCCTGAATTACACATTATGCAATAAGATTTTTCCAGAATGTTATTTGTTTAGGACTGCAACTCTAATTAAGATTGTGAATGAAACCGCATTATCAAAGACACAAGGCAGGACTTGCCATTGAGTGAATTCAAACTGTCAATCATCAGTGTTGAACAACAGGGTTTACCTCATATAACATAACCAAAGAAAACTTCCCCTGGTGTTATGTAATGCTATTTCACAGGGAGATTGTTAAGAAAAACAGCCTGATCATGAGAACGGTAATCACAGAAGCGTTTGTATATACAGTATCAGTGTTTGCATGCCAGCATTGCCCGTTTCTGATGCAACACTTGTCTGGAATGAGAGGTGTGGTGTTGAGCTGTGCCATTGTGCCAGAGATTTGTGCCTATAAACTGCTGTCTCATCCTGACCGTGTCTAGGACACACACACACACACACACACACACACACACACACACACTTAGCTCGGAAATCTTGCTTTTTATGCGTCATACTGAATAAAAAACCTGAGTTACTGTCAATTTAAGATTGAATCAAAATTGCTTCTCTAATATGACACAACAGATTTTCAATATAAAATATCTGTTTTGTGTCTTTACATGCAGTCTGGTTAATCAGAAAAGCAATAACATGATAAGAATCGGTGGATTGCGGAGGGAGAATGTATAAACAGACAGAAAAGACCTGATGTTAACAAGCAGAATCACTGAAGGAGAAAACCGTCATTTTAAAACACACACCGATCACCATAACGGTGACTTCAATTTATGTTTTTTTGGTTGTTGTTGTAAGTTTTACACATTTTAAATGGTTATCTTTTAAGGAATTATTTTTTAAAATTATTACTCAATTCTAATTTGTTACATTTAATGAACAATATTGCTTGTAATCTGTTGCCACAATTTTTTTTTTTTTGATTAGATAAAGCATATTCATTTTCACAGTGTGGCAATATGAAAATCACGTCTATACTGAGGACATCTATTCGCAAAATGATCAAAAAATTATGTTTCACATGCTCTTTCTCATAAATACTACTGTAATAATGATACATTTAAAGTGCAAAGTTATAAGCCTGAAATTCTGTAAGCTTTAATTGCTTCCATGTTTTATAAGGTGATTATGTCAGGATAATAACCTGCATTTTGACCCACTAAACAGAACTTTATTGTTTGGATTATGTAATTATTAATGACATTGCACTTTGGTATCGATCAAGTGTCAGATGAGGAACGCACCGCCCGGGGGGGGTCAAGACCTTTTCTTTTAGGCGCTGTAGCCAAACTTGGTTACTGTTTGTTCAACCGTTCAAAATGTAGATTTTTTTAAACAAAGACTTTCTACTGTAAAAAAATATTGTTGGCTTAACTTAAAAAAATAAGTAACCTGGTTGCCTTAAAATTAAGTTCATTGAAATTGAGTTAATACAATGAAGGAGATTAATTTAATCAACAGAAACTCAAAATATTATGTTATCTGAACTACATAAATTATCTAAGTTGATTTGACAAAAGAAAAAATGTTGTGATTACACTGTAAATGTTTTTACAGTAACTTTGCAGCTATGTCAAATAACTCTTATAACAGTATTATTCGACTGTTAGGGTATCATGTAGTTGTAATTACAGTTACTTATAGTTATAGTCAGAATAATGTCTGTTGAGCAGCATCAGAATAAAGTGTTATATTTCATGCATGCAGATATTAAGGAGTCTAGGGGCCGTTTACATGACACCCTTTTTTAACTAAAACTAAACTTTTTTGCGTTTTGAATGCAGAATGCAGCATTTTTAATCGTATTCGTGGAGAACATTGTCTTCTGTACATGAAAAACACCATTCCCCCCCAATTTTTATTTAGTATGCATTTTTGTATGCAAGTTAGTAGAATGTCAAAATAAAGTGTTATGGACGACTCTTCTGCTCATGAAGGCTGCATTTACAGTAAAATACAGTTTACAGTAAAAACAGTAATATTGTGAAATTTAAAATGACTAATTTTCATGTGAATATATTGTAAAGTGTCATTTATTCTTGTGATCAAAGCTGAATTTTCAGCATCATTACATCATTCAGCCTCAAGAAATCACTCTAATATGTGACATTTCTGATTATTATCAATGTTGAAAAACCATGAAATGTTTGTTTTTCAGGATTTCATTCAGGATTTGATGAATAGAAAGTTCAAAAGAACAGCATTTATTTGAAATAGACATCATTATAAAGGTATTTACTGTCACTTGCTGAATACAATTATTCATTTCTATAGAAAAAATCTTACTGAAAACCCAGACTGTTTGGGGAAATTTGTTTTTAGATGAACTATTCCTTCAAGAACTGATGACGTTCAGAGATGGCTTCAGTTCAGATCAATATCATCTTTGCTTCATGTCCGTTCACAGCGCTGAGACATAATTGGTAGAAATCGAACACAGTTTTTCCCCATGGCAATATTAACAAAAGAGGCAATGCTCAAGTGAGAAGCAGACACACACTTTACCTTTCTTCAAATCACATCAGAACAGCCGATAAAGCATGATAAATCTGCAGGGCATCCATTTTATCTCTTGTAATTGTATTTTGGTTTCCTCTGAAGTCAACATTATGGTTTATCATGTTTTTATGTGCCCTTCATTGTTTTCACGGTAAGTTGCGCAAGACTGTGCTCACATGGAGTTCATAATGACATTGATATGATATACCAAGAAACATCAAATAAGACATGATAATGAGATATATTAGGCCTATATGCATTATTGTATGAATATTTTTCATGGTCATTCTGGTTCTTTTGTGTTATTGCAGTAGCCAATTAGTTCATTATAATATGCGTAATGATGCTTGTTTTCATCACAAGATCGTGAGGTAACATTGATTTCCTAATCATTTACCATGCCGTTTATTTGATACTCCTAAAGTACATGTCTTAAACATGGTAACTTGCACATTTTGTTAAAGCAGTAGTCTAAGTTTATTAGTATGTGTGTAATGGTTTTTAAGTCTTTGTTATCACTAAGAGTTGTGTAAGTTTGTACATGTTGTTTAGGCTATACGTGATACTCTAATGTCCTTCAAAAAATAAGATTACCATGGTGCGTGTCCAAAACATGGTAACCTATAATTTGTTACTAGACTATCACTGTATTACAGTAAGCAGGCCTATGTATAAAACCATAAGTATCCTAATGGTTAATTATATTTCAAGTCTTCATTGCTAAAAAATAAAAAGTTGTGCAAATGTGAGTTCTTACCAGGTTCAATCTTATGCATCAACACATGTTTGGATCAAATATAGATAAACCCAACCATTAGTTTTTGTCCATATTTGACCCAAACGTGGCTTGAAACAACCCAGCATTTTTAAAGTGGCACGTTTTAATATTCATAATATGATATTTACTTACTTCATAGATTACACTAATCTCACTTCATGTACGTCTTCGTGTACTAAATGTATGGTAGGCTATACATGTCAAGTGGTTTTATCACGGTATGTTTTAGTGTAGTATTATTTCGTGTAAATACGTACCTTAATGTTTTCACATGTTTGTTATGAAAGCACGTTGCGCAAGTGTGTGTTTGTGGACTTCGCTGCGACTCGAGTGCAATCCCATGCGAGTTTACATCATTCTTGACATATAACCATACTGCCCCACAGATTTTTGTGCCACACCCCCTCCACGCAACATGGTTTCGTCCAGTCACCTGAGAGGACGAAAGAGCGCGCTAGCCCGGGCCCCTGATGACGCAAGACGGACCGTTCCATAAATACTCCCGCGTTTCTCGGAGGGGTGACAGATTTCCTGCGCTTTCCAAACGGTTGAGTAAGGTAGCCTACAACAAAGGAGACACTAAAAACGATGAACGGCAACGGAGAAATTAACGGGTTCCATAACTCTCTTATTGAGGAGGACTGCTTCTTGTTTACATCGGAGTCCGTTGGAGAAGGGCATCCAGGTATGCAAACTAAACTTTGGGTTCACTGTAATAACATACGGTTCTAATTTCCTTATTATTTCATTAGATTTTTATAACCATATACATGTATTTGCCTTAGTTTGCAAACATGTAACGTTAGATATAATTCATCAATGCTCATAAAAAATTAGACTTGGAAACGCGATTGTACTTTTGTTTCCATGGCTGTGTCTCAAAAACTAGTGTGCTGCCATGCTAGACAGCATGTTCTCATCAACACACACACACACACACACACACATTCTCTATGTAGATAGCTGTACAGGTATTGTATTGAGACACAGCCTCGCGACACGTGGGATCAAACATGTTTCTCAGTGCAGACTCCGCCCACTTATTATTATTCACATAGTTTTATCTGCAGAAAAGAACACGGTTATTTCATCATCTGCATTGAAAGTGAAAGAAAACTGGTAGTGGTATCTCTAAAATAACACAAAATGTACCATGAAGGTTATTTTTAGTTTAGTTTGTTTCAGAAATGGTTTTGATCGTTACATTTTTTTTGGTTGCACTTTCTTTTACAGTCCTGTTCCCCAAATGTACTTATTATAGTAATAAGAATAACTGGGTAATAACTACTAAGCCTAAACCTAAACGTAACCCATGTAGTTACCTTCGTAGGTAAGTACACTAATATGCACATACTGTAAAATAAAGTGCAACCATTTTGTTTTTATTTCATGGACACATTTTTATTTCACATTTTGTTTCAGTTGTGACACTTGAACATTCAGTAGAAAAGGCAATTGAACACAGCAGATCTTAGATTATGTAAAATATTGTTGGATCTAAAGTAATTCATAAATTTGCAAAAATAATAATAAATCAATAAAAAATGTAAAGTTGTATTCCCTAATTTATTCTTCAAATAGCCAACTAGCTCTTCAAATTGAACCACAAATACAAGATATACCTCGAAATCACGACATTCCTAAACACCTGCAGTACATCAGCAAACTTTTGTATAATTTAAAACAAAAATAAGCATTTTAGGAAATTCTAAAACTGATCTTAATTATCCAGGAAAGAAGTTGCAGGTGTATTTTTTTTCAGGAACAGTTTATTTTACAGTATTGTTACAAATTACATTTAATTACTTTAGTAAGAACAGTAAATGATGCATAATTAAATGTAACTAGCCCAAACCAAACCCTATTCCTAACCCTATAGTAAGGACATGTAGTCAATTATAATTACAATAAATGTAAAACACGTCATGCTGCATCTATCATACGTGTCACACAGAGGTGCTTTTACAGACACAAATACAATTTCAATTGCATGTGCACAAGAATAATGTCCATAGGAAAATGGATACGCTGTCGCTAGTCGATTCTCAAGCACCGCTGATTGAAAACAAGCAAAATGCAGTGGATTTCGACAAATATAGAGAACACTAATTATTGTTATTATTGCATTGTACAGATAAGATATGTGACCAGATAAGTGATGCGGTTTTGGACGCTCACCTGAAGCAAGACCCAGATGCAAAAGTGGCTTGTGGTATGTTGACTTGAATTTCTTGAGTTTTGCATGTGTCTTCCTAAAGGTCTGAATAATGAAGTTTTATGGCCCATTTTCATTGTTTTTCTTCTAGAAACTGTAGCCAAGACTGGAATGATTTTGCTGGCGGGAGAGGTGACGTCTCGTGCTGTTGTAGACTATCAAAAGGTGGTCCGTGACACCATAAAACACATCGGCTACGACGACTCATCCAAGGGTTTGTTTGATGATACTATATTTTATTATAGATACTGCAGCGTTCACACTAGCATTCAAAAGTGTGGGGTCGGTAAGATTGTTAAAATGTTATGTAGGCGGCATTTAATTGATCAAAAATACATATTGTGAAAGTGAAATATTAGTAGAATTTACAACTGTTTTCGATGTGAGTATATTTTAAAATGTAATGTATTCCTGTGATCAAAGTTGAACTTTCAGCATATTACTCCAGTCTTCATTGTCACATGATCCTTCAGAAATCATTCACTCAAAAAAAAAATATATATATTTTTGGACAAAATAGGACAAATGGGCAAGGGCAATATATTCCTAAAAATATATTTTTTGGACAATATAGGACAAATGGACAATATGTTCCTAAAATATATATATATGAAGAGTTCAGATGCAAAAGCCTCTAAGTGCCATTTGAAATTTTCTTCTAGAATGATCATTTTTATCAAACTTGTATATTTAAGTTCAGTGATTTCACTTAAATGGCAATGATAATTACCTATTAATTGTTATTTAAGTGAAATTACTGAACTTAAATATACAAGTTTGATAAAAATCATCATTAAAGAAGAAAATTTCAAATGGCATTTAGAGGATTTTGCATCTGAACTCTTCATATATATATTTTTTGGACAATATAAGACAAATGGACAATATATATTTTTTGGACAATATAGGACAAATGGACAATATATATTTCTAAAAATATATTTTTTTGGACAATATAGGACAATTGGACAATATATTCCTAAAAATATATATATTTTTGGAAATATAATCCTAAAATATATATTTTTTTGGACAATATAGAACAAACTGACAATATATTCCTAAAAATTATATTTTTTAGGACAGGGATTCCACGTGATTGAAACAAGTAAAACCCAATAGAACAACTATTTTATTATGTCATTAAAATAATAGACAAATTACCCAAACCTCCCACACACAGAGGGAGAGGGAGGGAGAAAATTGTCCTGAAAGTCACATTCAAACCAAAATATCTGAGTTCCTGTTGGTCGAAGCTAATGACTGTAAATTAGAAAGTTGACTGTAAATTAGAAAGTTGTCCGGCTCAAAGAAAACAATATACACACCGATTTTTGTTTCTGTAGGTAAAACTAATACCCCATTTTTGACTAAAGGTGGTGCTACTGAGCCCCTCAATCATGCCTGACAAATGGACAATATATTCCTAAAAATAGATATTTTTTTGGACAATATAGGACAAATGGACAATATATTCCTAAAAAAGATTTTTTTGGACAATATAGAACATATGGACAATATATTCCTAAAAATATATATATATTTTGGACAATATAGGATAAATGGACAATATATTCCTAAAATATATATTTTTTTGGACAATATAGGACAAATGGACAATATATTCCTAAAATATATATATATATATTTTTTTGGGACAATATAGGACAAATGGACAATATATTCCTAAAATATATATATATTTTTGGACAATATAGGACAAATGGACAATATATTCCTAAAAATATATATATCTTTTTGGACAATATAGGACAAATGGACAATATATTCCTAAAAAATATTTTTTTGGACAATATAGGACAAATGGACAATATATTCCTAAAAATATATATATATATTTTGGACAATATAGGACAAATGGACAATATATTCCTAAAATATATAATTTTTTGGGACAATATAGGACAAATTGACAATATATTCCTAATATATATATATATATTTTGGACAATATAGGACAAATGGACAATATATTCCTAAAAAAATTTTTTTTTGGACAATATAGGACAAATGGACAATATATTCCTAAAAATATATATATATATATTTTGGACAATATAGGACAAATGGACAATATATTCCTAAAATATATAATTTTTTGGGACAATATAGGACAAATTGACAATATATTCCTAATATATATATATATATATTGGACAATATAGGACAAATGGACAATAAATTCCTAAAAAAATATATTTAAAAATATATTTTTTAGTATATCATCGAAGTATATCAACGAAGAGGACGAGGACTAAAAAAATATATTTAAAAATATATTTTTTAGGACAGGGATTCCACGTAATTGAAACAAGTAAAACCCAATTGACCCAACCAAGTACAACCAACTAGAATCAATAGTGTCCGTTTAACTTGAATGAATGGTTTTAGTTTAACTTTAAAAAAAATGGTTTTCATTTCAGTTTAATTATTCGAATAATCCTACTGACCTCAAACCTTTGAATGATAGTGTACTTCTGAAAGATAACAAACAAACTAAAATCAGAGCAACTGAATCAGATCTATACTGTCTGTCCTGAACCCGTAGGCTTTGATTATAAGACCTGTAATGTTCTGGTGGCCCTGGAGCAGCAGTCTCCAGACATCGCCCAGGGAGTGCACTTAGACCGCAGCGAAGAGGACGTTGGAGCTGGCGACCAGGTGCTTCAGTGCAGTCCAAAAACAACTCTTTTGATTAAATTAATTTCAATATTAATATTTCCTGTTATTCTTTCAGGGTCTAATGTTCGGTTATGCCACTGATGAGACTGAGGAATGTATGCCACTCACTATTGTGCTCGCACACAAACTTAATGCCAAGTTGGCAGAACTGAGGCGCAACGGCACCCTGCCCTGGCTCCGGCCCGACTCCAAGACTCAGGTCTGCTGGATTTTTTTAGTCTTTGTTTTTAACGTTATAAGCCTTTAGTCAAACTGCAATGAGGTCAATCATAACATTCCAAATTTTTAATTTGAAGCAAAAAAATAATTAAAAAATCAGACAAAAAAAACAGTGAAGGAAATAACTAAATTAAAAATGAGAAATATAAAACAGCTATTTTAAAGTTGTTGAATATATCTATAGAAGCAATATGTTTTATATCAAAATATGCATATAAATTTGTGCTGTCAAACCAATTAATCGCTCATAACATGAATGTTTGTGTGTATATAATATATATGTATATACCAGGGCTGTGCAAAGATTAATTCACCTTTGGCTAAGCCACACCCCCCTTAGTTACTGTTGCTACATCCGTCAAACTTCATCTGCGCTCTGCATGGCTAATGCTGAAATGTTATCAAACTTTTATAAAGCAGCAAATAAAGTGTCCGATAGAAGTAGGCTGCAATATGCGTTCGAAGGCTATATTCAAGACATGTGAAATGCAAGAAACAACAAGGCATCCAAAATAGAGGCAAAAGCACTAATCCTACTAATGGAGACGGAGGCTGGGACTAACAATATCAGGGCGCAACACTGTTCATGCAAAGCTGGGTAGGTCTCTATTCACTTCTATAATCGTTATTACAAAGCAAACGGACTACACGAGTATAACGTTGTATTTATTAGCAGCGTGTTTCCCAATCCTGTTCCTGGCGGCACACCAACACTGCGCGTATTCTTTGTCTCCCTTATCAAAGACAACTGATTCAACCCATCAGCTCATAATCAGATGGGTTAATGCGCTGATGAGTTGAATCAGGTGTGTTTGATTAGGGAGACAAAGAATACGCGCAGTGTTGGTGTGCCGCTAGGAACAGGGTTGGGACACTGGGAACACTGTGCTAGTGTATCAACAACCGTTATGGGAACCGAAATCATAACCTAAAACATTATAAAACGGTCTAACTAGTATAACTTCACACTCACAGTAAGGTTAGAAGTAAAAAAAAGATGTGCTTGTTGATCTTTGCGGGGTTTAGCTGACTGAGGACGTCCACACAGTTTCCATAGACGACACTTGTCAGGATTTTACTTCGGTTTTGGGAAGGGAAAAAAACGGACACCCCCCTCCAACCTCTCTGGGAAACGCGTATCTGTGTTACAAATCCCCGAGGCACAACGTGTAACCATATTTTGGATAAAACTATGACGGTAATAGCCTGCCGAGACCAAAAACATGAGACGCCTGTGTTGAAAGTCAATGGAGCGCTGTGAAAAATTGTCCGACCTTTGTGGGAGCTCGTTCTTGGCTGCGCTGTGATTGGGCGTGGCTTAGCCAAAGGTGAATTGCGATTAATCTTATCCAAAATAAAAGTTTGTGTTTACATAATATTTTTGCGTGTGCTGTGTATAATTATTTTGCATATATAAATACACTCATGCATGTTTATATTTAAGAAAATGTGTTAGTCATATATAAAATATTTATATATATATATATATATATAATAGATTATGTATTTATATATATATATATATATATATATATATACAGTATTTACGTGCAAATAATTCTTACATATATACATGCATGCATGTATTTATATATACAAAATAATTATACACAGTACACGCACATATATTATGTAAACACAAACTTTTATTTTGGATGCGATTAATCGCAATTAATCTTTGCACAGCCCTAGTATATACACATATATAATGAAATACACATATATATGCATTCACTTTTATGTTAAATGTGATTAATCGATTTGAAAGCACTAATTTAGTATACCTACACTGTAAAGAAATATTGATGGTTTAACTTAAAAAAGTAAGTAACCTGGGTTGCTTTAAAATTTTAAGTTGATTGAACTGGAAAAAGTGAGTTAATACAATGAAGTAGAATAATTTAACCATCAGAAACTCAAAATAATAAGTTATCCCAACTAAATAAATTATTATAAAGTTGATTTGACAAAAGAAAATATGTTGTGATAACAAATCTTGAAAATATTTTTTACAGTGTATACACAGCATCATGGGTAATGTCATTTTTCATCACAAATTCAGATGTTAACATGATTATTTTAAAAATAATTTGAAATATCGCAAACAGACAACTAAAGCATTTACCATCAGTTAACAACCTCATAGCACACATTAGGTCTGTCTGTATGTGTAATCATTATAACGCTTTATAATTAATAATCATTAAAAATCAATTTCCCAATTAAAAAAGGAAAAAAAGTCGGCACACCTTGGCTCCAAAAATGTGAAAAGATTTAATACTCTCACACAGGTGGTTACGTTTCGAGCACATAGGCTCTTCGCCAGACAATTAAAAGTTAAAAGTTAAGCGCACCCTGCCCTTAAACTCACAAGTGACTTTTTTTTTTTTTTTTACAAATGATACCAATATCAAAGATAAACGAAAAATAATACATACTTAATGTGAAAGTCAAATTAAACAAAATTAATATAAATGTATATCGGGATACCTGCATAGACCCAAAAAAACACAAAAAAAATGAAACCAAGAAACGAACTAATATCAAATTCTTCATTTAACCCCATTGGTGCCATAGTATCTAATGTGAAAATCCAGAAGGTTTCGGGTTTTGGAAGTAAATTATTGATGTCGCCTTTATAGATAAAAAATAAATATATAAATATATATTTCCATGTTGGTCCAGGCTGGTTTCTGATGGTTAGAGCTGGTCTGAAGCAGAACTGAGCTGGTGTAGCTGGTTCACTAACACTCATGCTTCCCATTCTGCTCCCAGCATGCAAAACATACCTTATCCTGGTCACTAGGTACTGCATTTAAGAACACAAAATGTGTTTTTTGAACAAAACAAGTGTTTTTTTTTTCCTTTTTTCGAACAACATAGCTAGAAGTGCATTGCAGGTACTTGTGTGAAGTGTGTGTCCTGACAGTGCGACATGACTCGTCTCTGTGTACAGGTTACTGTGCAGTACAGACAGGAGCGTGGAGCCATGCTGCCGGTGCGGGTCCACACTATTGTAGTCTCTGTGCAGCACGATGAAGACATCTGTCTTGACGAGATGCGTGATGCGCTAAAAGATAAAGTCATCAAGGTCGTGGTCCCCTCCGTTTATCTGGATGATGATACCATCTACCACTTGCAGCCCAGTGGCCGCTTTGTCATTGGAGGCCCTCAGGTAGTGACCAGTTACAGGAGTGTACATGAATTAGTAGCAAGGTGTTTTTTATTTAAACGCTATCCCACTGATGTAGGGTGACGCCGGCCTGACTGGTCGTAAGATTATTGTGGATACCTATGGAGGCTGGGGAGCCCATGGTGGAGGAGCTTTCTCTGGAAAGGATTACACCAAAGTGGACCGTTCTGCTGCGTACGCTGCCCGCTGGGTGGCCAAATCTCTCGTGAAGGCCAAACTGTGCAGGCGTGTTCTTGTGCAGGTCAGTTAACCAGATATTTTGTGTTCTGCTGAGCACGTATAACACATAAGTTAGGTTTATTTATAACAACATCGGATCAAATAAACGTTGTTTTAACCCATCTTTGGGTCAAATATGGACAAGTTCAGCCATTGGGTTAAATGTTTAAATGACATTTTTTAACCCAACATTTGGGTTTGTCCATATTTGACCCAAATTTGGGTTAAAACAACCCAGCCTTTATTAGAGTGAACACAAGCAAAAGCAGTAGAAAACTAATATGACAAATAAAATCCAACAGAAGTCAAATACAAAAATAATCATCAAGGAACATTAAAAGCAGGAGAAAAATAATGAGTTTTAATCAAAGATCAAGTTCCTCAATGATATTTCCTTCACTATGATACAGGTTGCTTATGCCATTGGAGTGGCTCATCCTCTTTCCATTTCCATCTTCCACTATGGCACATCCCAAAAGAGTGAGCAGGAGCTGCTGAAAATAGTCAAGAAAAACTTTGATCTTCGTCCAGGAGTCATTGTGAGGTAACTCGTCTCACTCGCTTTTATATTTCTTCATTCATTTCATTTCAGCTTAACAGGTTTGGGTGTAAATCTCTCCTTTTTCTTTTGCTTCTGTCTGTGCTTTACTTTTTTGAGTCTTTGCATCCCCGTCGATTCCATCAGACAGATTATAAGAACTCTTAGGAAACTCGTTCAAATATTTTCAATGCAATTATTCAGTACATTAACCCTCAAACCGTATTCACTTTATAGCCCTTAATCCTGTAATTGTGGACTCAGGTGTGATCCTAATTTTTATTTATTATAAATGTTATATCACTGTCTTCGATAAAGTTTTGTCTATCCATTTATGGTGTTTGTTTTTATTTTGGGGGTATTTTTGAATTTATTTACTTCAAAAAGTACCATATTTTATCTATGTAAATTATGCTTATTTTTATGTTTTATTTTTTAACTACATTAAAATATCATTCCAATAAGTTCTTAGAGCTAAAACCTAAAGATGAAGTGACTTTGCTGTCTTATTTTGGCTTATATTAGAAGGCTCTAAATTACAGTTTTTCCCATTCATTTCTATGGGTGCCCATTTTTGACCCAAATACAAGATTAAGGAGTTTTTGTAGAATTGAGTCCAAAAAAAGTGTGTGTGTTCAGGAGGCAAACTTAGGAAAAGTAGCCAATTCTTGTACCGCTCAGATCAAGGGAAGTATTTTTTTTAGGGCTGTGCAAAAATTAATTGCGATTAATCGCATCCAAAATAAAAGTCTGTGTTTACATAATATATTTGTGTGTGTTGTATATAATTATTTTGTATATATAAATACCTATGCATGCATGTATATATTTAAGAATTATTTGCGCTTAAATTCTGTATATATATATATATATATATATAAATACATAATCTATATTATATAAATATAAATGTTTTATATATGAATAACACATTTTCTTAAATACATACATGCATGTGTAATATATAATTATATACAGCACACACAAATATATTATGTAAACACAGACTTTTATTTTGGATGCGATTAATCTAAATTAATTTTTGCACAGCCCTAATTTTTTTTAAATAACACATTTGTCCAGAATACGGTTTTAGGGTTAAAGAGTCAATAATGGAATGAAAAGCAAGGAATTGGTCTGAAACAGATTGCTTCATCAAAAGCATATTACCAACTTCGGAGCTCACGGTAGGACTGTCTGTATTCTGTAAATTAATTTCAAAGTGAACTATTCCTTTAACACACACACACATTTCACTATCACATCTGACGTTTGCAAAGTATTTGTGAATCAGGAGAAGAGTTTTCGGGAAGGTCCCAAATCACTCTCATATTTACTCGTATATTTACGAATGTTTCATGAATGAGACCCACTGACCGTGAGCATTAGAGTCATGCACTTTATATCTCGACTTGTGTGACACACATGAAGAGCGTTTCAAATCAGTCACTTGTGATTAGAAAACGTCCAGTGTAAAGCTCTGGTGTGGAACAGAGTACTCTAAAGCGGAAAGGCCCGAGTGGTTAGCTAGTGTTTGCTCTCTATTTCATGCTGCGCTTTCCTTCTTCAGGGTGACTAGTGCGTGTAACGGTAAGTGACCGCTTCGTCTCGTCTCTGGCTGGCTGGGTGTACAAGCGCACACTTGAAGTATTTGCTACATGATGATCTTTTTAATCTTTTGATGAGTCAATAATCCGTGGCCAATGTGTTTTAGGGAGCTGGAGCTGAAGAAGCCAATATATCAGAAGACTGCTGCGTACGGTCACTTTGGCCGTGACTCTTTCCCTTGGGAAGTGCCCAAAAAGCTGCACTACTAAACCTTTTGTTAAGGTTTTTCCTCTCTAGGCCTGTTGGTGTATTCTACAGAGAAGCCCGCATGGCTTATGGGGAGAAGTCTTATTCTGGTACAAGTCCTGCTGGTCCATCTTTTTCTTTCATTTTCCTATCATATTGCATCATCAACCATAGACCTTATTCAGAGCAGCGCCATGACGGGTTTCATACCCGTGAGGCTGTGAGGGATAGACTTACCGTGTTTCCAATGGCATCCGCTGCAAAAAGCTGAATAAAGCGGCTAGATTACTCACAATTTTTTTCACAACTGACATTTCTTGGAAAGATATTTTTCCAGTGTTTCATGAGCAGAACAATCCGAAAACACATTAAATAACAGTACAGCCCATTGAAGCAAGTCTATCTCTCACAGCCTCGCTTTCATTCTCATTAAAAATCAAAGATGGCGCTGCCGTGAATAAGGCGTATTGCACTTGTTCATCCGCATTAGGATAAAGGAAGTGCACTACCCAGAATAATGTGTCAATTTTAAATTTGAGAATTGTAAACTGGTCGGCCAGTATTAACTATGGCTTTTGATTTTATGCACCACTGTATTATAAGCATTCCCAACCATTTTTAGATATTTATTAGTGCTGTCGTGTTGTACTCTGGAGGTCAACTGTGATGCTGTTCTTGGTCTCTTCCCTAGTGCTCTGTGGTTCCCAAGTGTCTTACAGAAAAACTTTGGGGACCAGCCACGAGGAAAGTGTTTGCTGCAGTGCCTGGGTATGCAGAGCCACTTCTTTGGCCAATACTCTAATGCAGTGAAAGATGATAATTGTGTTTCTTCTTTCACTCTCTCGTCTTTTCTTGAGCAGAGAGATGGCAATTTTGGCTGGTGTTGTACAGAGAAACTAGCCATGTTTACATGCATATTCTCTCTCTCTCTCTCTCTCTATATATATATAAATATATATATATATATAAATACGGTATATATATGTTTCTCTACCTTCCTCCAGTTTTTATTTATTTTAACAATAAAGTGTTTTCTATTATGATGTCATTGTGTCTTTTTCCTCTCTGTTTATAGAAATAGGAAAAATAAGAAATGTAAATATTAGATTTGAATTGTATTTAAATATATCTATATATATACGTATATACAATATATGATTTTAAAAAAAGTACGTGCTTTATTGAAAAATGTAAGATGGGCATAAAAAACAGTGAGTTGACATGATTTAAACTGGCACGTGGAAACCCGAGGTGACCCTGGAAGATTTATTGTAGAGCCAGACCGATATATCGGCAGGCCGATATTATCGGCCGATATTAGGCATTTTCCAAACTATCGGTATCGGCAGTTATAATGGCCGATAAATTAATATTTCAAAAATAAAATAAAAATGGACGAAACACGCTTGAACCATGTCTGTATAGTTTGTCCACCAGAGGGCACTCTACACCTTCCCTGTTGGCAACACTCGTTGAGTTGGGCACGATACATACATTGCTTGAATAACAATTAAAAGAACATCCCCATCAGTTCTCTTAACTCAAATAAGCATGACAAAATTTGTGACTATCATGTCCAGTTTCAAATAAATAAACAAAATATCGGCCGATATATCGGATTTTAAAACCCCAAAATATTTGTATCGGTATCGGCCTTCAAAATCCTTTATCGATCGGGCTCTAATTTATTGTGTTATCCGAATGGTTCATGTTTGATAAGACATTTGTAGGCCAAACTCAGAACGAGTTGTATTTTAGCACTTCCGCTTCCATCGTCCTAAAGTCAATGTTTTTTTTAATGGGTTTCTGGTTAAATATCTGAATTAAGGTATGTGGTTTAAGCACAGGATATTTTATTATATATTATATATTGGGATTTTTTTCTCTTTTTTACTTGTTATGAAAAAAGAGGATGCTAACAAGAGAATGGGACTCAAGATATAAAGAACTTTGAGATGCAACTCTACACTCTTGCCTCATTTAGTATTGGTGGTTGTATGGATATGTACATAAGTCATAGAAACACTGATGTGCTTGTGATTCTGGGTTCCCATTTCCCGCACGTAGCATGTAAAAAACTCACAATATATACCCATTGATGCTGTTTTTTAACAAACTACCAAAGGATTCAGCGCCAAGCCAAAAAAAAAAAAAACAGTTTTGCACCTAGCTTTATCATATGTTCAGATCTATCTACCGAAAATATATGCAAAAAATTGTGCATATTTAATGAGATAATGCCTATTTTGCATAATTAAACATACAAATTTCAAAAACTTATAATACATTTTTTAATATACTTGTGTAAGTAATCAACTTAGGAAGTTTCATGGTGATATCTATTATTTAAAAATCTTACCCTATTCACCAAGTGTCTAGCCTTAAAAGTTGGTATTTTGCAAATATACATTAAAAAAAGGCAGTGAGCCTCCAATATATCTTTTGTCTGAGTCTGACCTTTGACTATCGATCTAGAAACTTAATTTCTTCATCTTGAATGCCTACTTACAAAAAAACTAATTGTCCAATGACTGAGCAAGATAGGCAATTTGGCGGCCATTTTGATATACAAATTAGAAGGTAAACACTCAAAATTTCGCTTGGGTACCATTTTTCTTTGGCTTCAGCACCCTTGAAATATGTAAGGTAGGTCGATTCCCAACTTGTACCCATAAATTCTCCTCACTTATATAAGGCCATTTTTCTGAAATCTGTCTAGTCTACAGTCTTTGATTTACTGCAGTTTTAAGGAGAAAATACTCAGCAACGCTGTCGACTTAAAAACACCACATAGGCCTATAAACAACATTTAAAAGCTTGATTTTTAGATTTTGCAGTTTTAAAATGTTTCTTACTAGATGATTTGGTGTTTGCTTTAAGTGTTCAGTGAATCAGCAGTTGCACTAGTGCTTTTGACAGTTGCATGCAGCACAGAAACAGCTACCAGAGAATCATATTCATATTCTGCTCTTCAGTAACACAGTTCTACAGTTACAAGCACCAATAGCATGTGTGTGATCATCAAGTTACGTCTAGCTTGCTTACTTTCCAAATTCAAATATAAATCACTGAGCATGCTCGTTTCGTTTGCCAAGGGAGCACCCTCAGTGCGTTTCCCTTGCTTATTTTTACCTTGCATCATATGGCATGTACAGTACTGAAATTAGCTGACTGCTGTGAACATCATTCTACTAAAAATAAATAATAAACTCACGCAGCGTGTTAGGCCTACCACGTGCCCTGTTATGAAATGATGCAATAAAACAGCTGAACACCAGTTGCTTTGTGCATCATTTCGCGTTGTGTTTCACTTATTCCAGACAGTAACAACTTTGAGTTTTGGGAATGGAAATACCTTCTGACCTTCACAACTATCAGCTCCATTTGGAGGTTTCACACACTGCATATTGCATCATCCACACACAGTTATCATAGAGCTTGACGCCACGGGACAAAAGAGGAGCCAGAACAGTTCACGCAGGCTAAAAATACATATAGTAATCAGATTGAAGCCTCAATCTGACTGAAAAGTCTTCATTAGGGCCCAAGCCCTGAAAGGGCGAAGGCCCTATTGTTTTCCTTGCGATTATTTTTCTTCACTATTATTATAATAATTATTATTTTACTACCTTTTGGGCACTTTTGGGGCCCTTAACGTGCTCGAAAACTCTTGAAACTTTGCACACGGGTCAGAACCCGCGGCCATCAGAGCCGGGCTGAAGCTGGTACCCGGGCGTGGTAGGGCGGCTCGTCAGCGCCCCCTGGAACGGGGTCCGAACACTTGGTCCATAACTCAAACACGCTTGTATGTAATAATATGAAACTCGGTACACATGTTGATCTCATCGTTTCATCTATACCTCACACTCTTACTTTTTACCCCAGCCCAACAGGAAGTCGGCTATTGAGGTTTGTTTGTAAAACGCTCGCAATGGAATGTCAAATACTCCTCCTAGAGCTTTGATCCAAATTCGACGAAACTCGGTCAGCGTGAAGTCAAGACATTGAGGATGAAAGTTTGCGAGGGGATTTTTTATATCTCGAACGGTTTGTCCGTGGCGAGGAAACGAAATCATGGCGAGAAACGTGAAACAGGAAGTGTGTTATAACCTCAGCATACATTAACTGATCTTGATGAAACTTCAGCAGTGTTTTCGCTGTAAGAGGACGATCACATGGATGTGACTATTGTGAGTCAAAGTTATAGCGCCACCAACTGGCAGCAGGAAGTGTGTCACTTTCAAAATGCTTTGATATCACCCTTTTATTTTTACCCGATTTGCTTCAAACTTCATATGTATAATGTAAACATACGGCAGATGTAGACCTGTGAATGGATTCTTGATATCTTTGTAACTGTTGCCGTGGCGACGCATCAAACTTTACCCTTCTTTTAGGATGCTTTTAGGATGCTTTTGAGACCCTTAGCATGCTTCAAAATGCATGAAACTCGACAGACACATCACATTTATTAGCCAGTAGACATGTGCAAAGTTTCAGAAACGGGCGTGGTGAGGGCTCAGTAGCGCCACCTTTTGACAAAAGTGGGGTTGTTAGTTTTAACTAGAGTTACAAAAATTGGTATGTATATTGTACTCCTCGAGCCGGACAACTTTCTAATTTAAACTTATTAGCTAGGACCCACAGAAAGTCAGATGTGTTTGTTTGAATGTGGTCTTGCTTAATCTGAGCCTACATCTCTGTCTTTGCCTGTCTGTGTGTGTGTGAGTGTGCAGGGGGAGGGGGCTTAACCATTTCACTGCTGTGTGTATGGCCTGCATAAAGAAAATACATTTCTCAAGCCTGGTATTTTTTAAATAAGTTTTTATTTTTATTTTTTATAAGTAAAGACATATAACTAGTTTAATTGTAGTGCATTGACAATAGTTTTTATATAATTAGTTTATTAATCAGATTAACTTGGTCAATAAACTTGGTCTGAAAATTTGGTCCATAAATCAAACACACTTGCATGTAATAATATGAAACTTGGTACACATATAGATCTCATCGTTTCATATATAGCCTACTTTACACTCTTACTATTTACCCCAGCCCAACAGGAAGACGGCTATTTAGGGTTGTGTTTAAAACACATGCAATGGAATTTAAAGTATTGCTCCTAGAGCACTGAACCAAATTCGACAAAACTCGATCAGCGTGAAGTCAAGACATTAAGGATGAAAAGGTGCCAAGGGATTTTTTATATCTCGAACGGTTTGGCCGTGGCGAGGAAACGAAATTAT